CTCAGCGTTGAGGGAGCATGTTTTGGATCTAACATGCCTGACCATGTTCAATCATGTGCTGCTCAGTCGGTAGTTGCATCATGGGCTATTGGGGGTGGTGTAAGTAMAATACATGCAACGTTAGACTAGCGTAMTATTCCTTCCTGGGTATTATTATGATAATTARAGTTGGGGATTCGCCTGACCCAGGAGAACCCAAACGAAATGGTTTGTTAATTGGTTTCAAGCCCGACTCACACCAGGGTTGGTGGGTGGGATCCAGTCTTCTTGCGGACAAGCACTTGAAGTGAATGTGTGGGGCATGTATCTCTATATATTCATTAGTCAAATCCCCAAGGATCGTATTACCAATAGCGAAGGGAAAACAGCGTTAAAAGAATCGATGCAAGCAAAAAAWGAACTATGTACTTATTGGCGCGTTGGGAGGGACCTGCAGGGAAAAGTTGTCTCACGCTATCAAAAAAAATCCATAAAGTTTATAAAAGCACCTGACAAAGTGGAAAAGAAGTGCACGCAACACCTTGGCGATCTTTATGTCGAATTAAGGAATTCCCACGGCCCTAGGGATGTATGTGTCTTGTTGTCTCCATTTTGTGTCTTAGTAAATATAGTTTATCTTTTTAATAAGTCTTTTTTTATTTATTTCTTGTGTTTTTTGAATATTACACTTTTATGGGTTGCAAGCGGCTTGCACGCTTTGCTTACCCGTTAGCTACATACCTGACCAATCCCTGTTCCATTCATTCAACTACATTTTAGTAAATCAAGATGAATTTAATCAAGTCCGATTCAGAGCAAGTGTCTGATCTCAGCACTTATTCATGGAGAAGACTAACGCTAGGCCGTTCTGGCTTTTTTGTTCCATAGGATTTTTACTTTCCTGATCATGTTGGCTATCCTATTGGAGACGATCTTGCGGTGAAGTTTGTTGTGATGGAAATTCACTACGACAATCCTAAACAGCTGACAGGTATCTGTAAAGTGCTTGCGTTTACAAAGTAATCTCATGGCTTTATGATTAGATTTAGGGGAAATATAGGGTAAAAAAAGCATAGAGTTGTGTTCCAATCTTAGAGTACACATAACAATATTAGAAATTCATTCTCATTCAAAAGAGAAAATGCTGCTAAGTACATCTGTGAAGAAAGAAATTGATCTTGAGTTGTATTTTCTAAGTTATGGCACAATTGATAAAAGTGATTTTCTAAAAGGTGTCATGTGCACTTCAATGCTCACCGTCAAAAAGAATTCTTTAAGTTTAAGTTTATAAATTTTTGTTTATTTTGTCTTCACATAATGTGTGCTTGACATACTTCTATGTATACATCAGCGCCGTGTGCATGTACATAAACAGAAGTCGTACGATAGATCCTTCTCGAATTTGCAATGTCAATCTTTTTTCTGTGTTGTATTTCATCTTTATACAACTTTTAAGTAAAATCAGACGTTTTGATTGGTTGGCTTTCGTGTGTTATCAAAGTATAGATACACGGATTACGTCAAAACTAATTGTTTGTTGTATAAAACAGATAGATCTCATTTTTCCGTGCGTGTGTACTCTAATAGATACACAGATGACGTCAAAATGTAGTGAGAACAACAGTCACGCACTCGACTGCGTCTCGTGCGTACTTTTTTGTTCTCACTACATTTTGACGTCATCTGTGTATCTATTAGAGTACACACGCACGGAAAAATGAGATCTATCTGTTTTATACAACAAACAATTAGTTTTGACGTAATCCGTGTATCTATACTTTGATAACACACGAAAGCCAACCAATCAAAACGTCTGATTTTACTGAAAAGTTGTATAAA